CCCACTAAAGGACTTCTTACCTCCCAAAAGTGCCACAAGTTGGAGACCACGCCTTCAACGCACGAGCATTTGGGGGGCATTTCAGATTCCAACTATCTTAAAATCATTTATATTTAATGTGATGTTCGCAATAGTTAAGTTTAAATGTACAACCTTGCTATTTATTTTGATTCAACTATATTTTGTTACCTTTTCATTCATTTTTCTGCCTTCCTTTGGACTGAATATTTGCAGTAATCAAATTTATACCCTTTCTCACTTTATTAAAAACATTTTACTTTAAATTCTATAGTATGCAGCCTTCTAAAGTCTACCTACAAGTAATATTATATCACTCATGTGTAGTTTCTAATGATATATTTCCACTTCATCTTCTTTGTACTATTCACTGACATAAATTTTCTTTATACAACTGTTACAAGCCATATAATACCTTGTTATTACTTTTTGCAGTAAGTAGTCATTTATCAATGAGAGATATTTAGAGAATAAGAAATTAATTTGTATTTACCCACATATTTTCCATTTCTGTTGTTCTTTCTCCCTTTCAATAGATCAAGATTTCTATCTGGAATTATTTTCTTATACTTGACACATTTCCATTAACATTTTTTCAGTGCAGATATTCTGGTAAAAAGTTTTTCAGGATGTATGTGTTTGAAAAAGTGTTCTTCTTGCCGTTTTGTTTAAGTATATTTTAACTAATTACAGAATTCTATGTTGGCTTTTTTCCGTTTAAGTCATACAAACTGTGGCTCCTTTACCTTTTGAAAAGAAGTCTGCTATTCTTTTGAAGATTTTCCTTTATGTATAATATGTATTTTACTCGATTTCTATTTAACGTTTTCTGTTTCTCACTGGTTCTAAGCAATTAGTTCATTTCCCTTGGTGAAATTTTTTCTTGTTTATTGGCCTTAGAGTTTGTTCAGCTTCCTGTCTAGAGAAGATTACAATTTTCATCAAGTTCAGAATATTTTTGACCAGTTTTTTTTCAAAAACATTGTATGGTCCTCTTCAGATAATCCAACTAATCTTTTATCAGTCTACTTGAAACCATCCAACAATGCACCAATGGTCTGCTCTATTTGTTTTTGCAGACTTTTAACCTCTATGGTTCATTTTTGCTAGCTACAATTACTGTCTTCAACATCATTATCTTATTGTTTTTCATGTTTAATCTTCTGTTAATGTATCCTTCATCTCATATATTGTATTTCTATGGCAAGATTTCTTTGTCTTTTCAGTTTACATGCTTATTCTATATTCAACATACCTACGCAGTTCCCTACCATATGAACATTTGCAATGTAAATATAAGAACTCTTGCCCTTAATGTATTCATGTGGCAATTATTTCATCTATGTCATTTATACATCTGCTCCTGCTGATCGCTTTTGCTGTCCTTCTGGAGTTGTATTTTCTTGCTTTGCAAGCTTTGTAATTTTTGACTGAACAGTTGCCATTGTAAATTTCACTCTGCTGGGTATCAGGTATTTTTGCGTGGATGTAAATATTCTTGATACTTATTCTGGTATCATGTTCACTTACTTGGAAACACTTTGATTCTTTTCGAGTTTAATTGTGAACTTTGGGATATAGAATCAGAACAGTGATTTTGCCACACCCCTGAGGCCCTGGCCTTCTAAGAGCCCTAACTCATGCCCCATGCGTTACAAAGGTTTTCTCTCTGGTCAGCAGAAATACAAATTGTTTTAAAGCCCTACTGTTCCCCCCAGTTCTCCCTGTAGTCTCTCTTTCTCAGTCTTGGATTATTTCCCTGTATGCGTGATGTGGGAAATTCTTACCTGTAAACTTGAGGAGAACCCTGCATTGATTTTTGGACCTCTTTACCTTTCACCCTCCCCCTTCCTCTCTTCTACCCTTCCTCCTCTTCCTCATCATATTCCTCCTCCTTCTTCTTCTTCCTTTCTCTCTCTCTCTCTCTCTCCCTCTCTCTCTTTTACAAAGGCCTATCTTCTCCTCTGTTCCAAAAGTTTAGCCATCCTGACCTCTCCAGTTTCTGAATTCTTTCAACTCTTCCTCATCAATTTAATTGGAGAAGTCCACCAGGTGCCATTTGGCTTCCCTCGTCCTGCAATGCAGCCTGAAAATTCTCTCCAGAGAGTAAGCATCTGCAATTCTAACTCACATAGTTTCCTTTCTTTTAAGTCTTTAACTTGCGCTGTCTTTGTTCAGTTTGGAAAAACAGTAGAGAATATTTGCTTATTTCGTGTTTTTTTCTTTATTATCAGAAAATAAATCTCATCCTTGGTACTTCCTGTTAGCCAGAAACGAAAATATCTGCTCATATTTTTCGTAGGCATCCAAGCTCTACGTACCTACAACTGTATTGATTTCCACATGCTGTTTCTTCCTTCACTGTTCCAAACCCAACTCCAAAAGTAACAAAACAACACAGTACTATATCTGCTCTAGTGTTTCCCTATTTTCGAAAATAGTGCCGGCATTGAGACCATAATGTTAAGTGAAAGAAGTCAGATACACCAGATTAAATATTGCTTGGTTTCTCTTGTATGTGAATCCCAAAAAATATAAACAAAGAGCAAAATAAAATAGATAATAGGAATTAGGGAGATCAATCTTTTTCAAATGGGAAGGTGATCAAGAGATGGAGGGAGAGAACAAGGAGGGGATGGAAAAGGGATTACAAAAGAATTGAGATGAGTTACAAACATGTACCAACTCCATATAAGGAATGTAATCATTATGTAATACAAGCATGTACTACTAAAAGCTGAAGAAAGCAAATCTTATCATTCAACCACACAAGCCAGTAACTAGAAGTTATCCTTTTCTCCTCCTCCTTCCTAAACTCAAAATCTAATTAATCACTGAATGCTTTCCTTCCCAAAGTCACCATCTTCATCCTGGAAGATTGTAATTAATCTGTGATGGATCACTTCCTCCAATACTTCACTGCTCTAATCCATTATTTATATCAAAGCAACCATCATATAGCCTTTACCCAAAAACAAACAACAAAACTTAAAATGTAACTTTTATTTTATTTAGTATATTTCTTGCAATGATATGGGTGAAAGAATTCCAAAACGATTGTCAATATAATGTAGGACTGACTAAATATGTCAATGAAAAGTACTGTGTTGGGCTGGAATTGGTAGTATCAATTCAAACTTATTACACATATACATATGCATGCATATACATATAAATGAATATGTATGGGTGTGTGTAAATAAGATATATATGCATGTGTATATATGTTTGTGTTTGCTATTTTCCAAGTTCCATCCACTAAGAAGTCATAGGAACAAAATAACCTTAGGCACTGACAACACCTAAAACTCAGAAGTTCTACTGCAGACATAGTCTCCTAAAAAAAGATTTCATTTCTTGGGAAAACTGGCTGATTTCAAGGCTGAAGCAGGAAAAATATAAAATAAATCTAGAGTGTACTGTTGTGACATTTATTAAAAGTGTGCTCAAAAAATGAGGCAAACATATCAAAAGGAATCAGAAGCCAAACTGAATAAGCTCCTACTGGGCAAATATGGGAAAATATGAGCAAAACTTTTAAGGAAAGTGAATAATGATATTAATGTTTTATAAGCCATTGAATAAAATTGGAGTGCATTCATACTGACAATTGGTTAATTAATTACACAGAAAGAATGATCATTGCTCACAAGAGAATGCCATCTAATAAATGTAGAGGAATAATAGAAAATCACCCATTTTGTAGCTGTAATTATTATTATTCATGTCAGAACAACCAACAGTTGCTGGAAGTATTGAGTACAAGTTGGAAGAGGAACAGAACAGTCTCAAAGCATCTCTCCAACAATTACTTTTTAATTATCAGTTTAAAATAGTAGTTTAGAGTGGATCAACTGAACATCAAAATTAACATTACCAAAAACGGGCCAATAGATATACCCTGAGAAAAATACAACTAACTCCTGGGGATTTATTTTAGAAAATGAATGGGGAAGATCTGATTGACATCATGAAAGAAAAGAACGTTGAATAATTATATCAGATTATGGGTTAAAGAGGCATGCCAATAAATAATACATAATCCTACACTGAATCTTAAATTTTAATAGATTGCTATGAAAGGTACTTTGGAGACAATTGGAGAAATTTAAATATGGGCTAAAATGGGGAAAGGTGCATGTTGGATTATGTTTTCAGAATTTGTAACTGTGCTGTCATTTTATAAAGTGATGTCTTTGTTCTGAGGCAACAACGCTGAAGTATTAGGCACGAGGAGGCATGGTATGTGCAGATAATTCTCGGGCAGTTTTGGAAAAGGTAAACACACTCTTTTATCTTGCCATTTCAAAGCAGCCTGTGCATGTTATAATGTATTTATTTCATTATGATCATATTCCTGATGCTCTTGAACTGATGATCAACTAAATTCCCACCTCACCCAGGAAGTACTGATCTTTCAAGTACTCAGCTGACGTGTACTTGGGGTTTTGAGAACCATGATTCCTATCTGTTCCTGGGCCCCACTTATCATCCAGGCAAGGACTAGAATTTGTCACTCGAAATTGGTTGGCTCAAATTTTGATAAATAACACTCCACACACATTTGCCTAAATAAAATCCAGAACCTATCAAAATCACACGAGAGAGACCAGACACTAAAATGAAAGACTTGAGCTAATTTCTAATGCTCAAGGCAAAGAAACCCGGATTTACACTAACCTTGCTCACCGGACTGTTGAAGGCAAAATATTCATTTACCTGATGATAACCAAGAAGAGAATCTTTTCTAGGTTTTATTTCTATTAGTACATGCTTGCAGTACGTAAAGAATGCACTCATTATTGGTACCTGATTATGACTCATCTCAGTTCTTTTTATGACCCCTTTCCTCTCTGCTTCCCCTCTCCCCCTCTCCGTCTCTTGATCCCTTTCCCATTTGTTTTATCCTATTATCTATCTTTGATTCTGCTCTTGGATTTATATTTTGTGTTTCCCAGGAGAATCTTCCAAGAATCACTGACCTCCAAGCCCAGGTCGCAGCCGGTTGTCATAGCCATCCAGAAGGCGATCCAAGATTCGGGTGAAGATAGTGATGTTGTCAGTGCTGTCTTCTGGAATATTTGGATGCTTAGGAGACAGGCTGGTGGAAGAAAGGGAAAGAAAGGGAAAATGATAGATCGTAATAGGAAAAAATTACACGTCTAAACATTTTAAGTCAGGAAGATTTCAGTCAATAGACCAGGCCAATTAAATAGCCTCATATCTTAACCAAAATAGCAAGCAGTTCTTATCTGGCACAATGATTACCTCTGTACAAAGTCAACCAGAGGCAGTACTTGGTCTCTTACTCTGGCATTAGCATGAGGTTTACCGAATACGTTCCAGCTACTTTCCAGCCAAAGAGAGACCCAAACGGAAATCCTGGAACACACTGCTCCTGGGTATAGTACCTGGCATACAGTTGATTCATCAAATTTCATTTCCTGAATGAACAGGACTCAAAAAAGCAAACTTTTTACTGAGACTTACCTTCATCGACCCCAGAGAAACACAAGTTCATAAAATAACAGAATCAGATGAATTCACAAATTGCATCTAAGTCTACCCCATTCCTTATCTTATACAGATGAGGCAACCGAGCCTCATTAAATGTTTGCACTACTCGGACTCTGCTTTTCTAGTGTCCTGCAGCTGCCTCCTACTTCTCCAAACTGGGTGCATTCTGCAACCTCTCTGATCTCCTTGTACTTTCCTAACCACATTATCACGCCCAGATACTGTGACTGATAATTTAACTTTTTGAGGAGGAGTTTGGTGTAGCTGGACAGACAACAAATTTTTTTAAGTTTCTGAGTATTTCAGGGGGAAAGAAGGATAAGATGAAACAAATGACTGTTCCCAAGGGTAAAAAAGTAGGGTATAGAATCAAGAAATGGACCAAGAGCTGGAAATCCTGGGTCTTGTTGTGCCCTGTCTTTCTTATTTGATGTACACTGTTGAGCAAGGTACAGTGATATATATCTATGGGTCTCAGATTTCCCCACTCTTAACTTGGACCCAGAAGTATGGCTTTAGTTAATACATAATTATTTCTAGTATCTAGTTAATCGAGGCTGTAAAAACCACAAGACACCAATTAAGAAATCCTAAGTGAAAGTCTACGTACCCATATCTATCTCTAGCAATGAGCAAGGTTCCTGTTCTAAAAGAACCCTGAGGATAAACGTGAGGCTTCTATAGGTACATGGATGCAACTTGAGACCATACTCACAAGTGAAATAAATCAGACCCACATGTGTAAACATCATATTGTCTCCCTAGTGTAAGAAACTGAAATAGTAAATAAGATTCAAAAGGTACAATAGACATTGTGAAATGGGAAGAAACTGCTCAAAAGGAAAAAACAACTGGGGTGGGGGAAAGGAGAAAAGAAGGAAGGGAAAAGAAAAAAACAAGCATATATATATGTATGTGTGTGTGTGTGTGTATACAAGATAGCTAAGAGAATTATACTACTAATTTCTATTAGTTCATTGAAAAGAAAGGTTTGTTCTTATATTGTTTGATCAATTTTTCTTGCCTATATTTTGTAATCTGAGCAATTACTTTGAAGATAACAATACATAATGCATTTACCATTGTTAATCTCCTATTGTCTTGTTTTGAAACTTTGTATCATTGTTTTTATTGTTTTCTCTCTTAAAAGAAGGAAAGTAAAAAATAAAGACACTGAGGAGATGTATGGAATAGTAGAACCATCTGAATGGACTAATTCTCACTCTGTCATTCTCTATATGAAAATCTAGCAAAGGTCATTTTGAACAAGTTCCTTAATTCATAAACATAATTCAATTCACTTAAGTATTTAATGCATTTCATTGAATACTAGGTGACTATTACTGTTGTAAGTGTTGTGATAGTGTAGAAAAGAATAAAGCAAGACAGATGAAGAAACCCTTCCCTTGCTTAACTTACAGGATTGCTGAACTGATTAGAAACTACACATGGAGAAAGAGAAGTTAGATTATAAAGACATGCATTTGGATTTATTAGTTATGTGACCTTAGGTGAGCCATAAAACACTTCTAGTAGTTTCAGCAATTAAATTAACTTGATATATATGTTGTATTAATATTAAAGAATATAATGTACTACAACTGCCAGGATTCAACTTCCATGCCTAGAATGATAAAACAATTCACAGATTGCTTTGTCACTTTGAAAATAGTTCTTTATGGGTTAAAATACAAGTATTAATGGTAAAAAGCTGGCATCTCCAAGAGTCGAAAGCCCTACAGAAGAACCCAGCCAGAGAGGCACTGGAACCTACTCAAAAACAGGACAGACCACACAAAGAGTGGTACAGATCCTTCACTGCGAATGGGGAAGAAAAACCGGATCTGACTGGAGAGCTAACAGAATGATACCTGCTGAAGGGAGAAACACAGAGACCTTGTCAGAGGACTATCTGGGTTCTGCATCCACCCGATAAGGGCTGTGGGAACTCAACTGATTTTATGAAAACTTCTTTCTCATTATCCTTCGTCTTTCACTGTAAAAAACCTTGACCACAATTAGTTCATTTCTGGGAAACAAGTCTCTGAATTGAATGAGAAAACTTTTATCAGATTACTATAAATAAATAGAACAGAGAATCCTCATGAGTATAGGCAAAGTATAAGGGGTTTCAGAGATTTTCTAATCCAGGTAGATTTACAGATGAGCATGCTAGATCCCCTGAACATGACTTTTAATCAATCTGAGAGTTAGTGGGAAAGCTAGAAGTTGGATCAAAAATTCCTAAATATAAGGAAGATATATCATGTCACTCCTGAAATGATGGCTTCCATGACAATGCATTTCTATCTCCTGATGACTCTGTTGATGCGTTAGTAACGTTAGCAACCTCATCACCAATAAATTTAGAACTTTGAAGTAAAAAAGAAAATCAATGGTAAATACTACTCTCAAATCTTTTCTCTATGACTTTACAGTGGATTACTGATACATTTTGCTCCTGATGCACACTAAATTTCCTCAGAGTTGGAAGTGGTTTAATCTAGAACCCAAATGAGAACTCTTTCCTCTTCAAAAATTGAACTACAAGATGCTGTGTTTTGTGCCAATTCAAAGGTAGTTGGAGCAAAAAGAAAGGATTATGGTACGTCTGGATTACTGAAGACCTTACAGATCATATAATTCTTTCCCCTTGTTTTACAAAAAGGAACACTAAGCTATGAGAGAAAGGAACTGTTCAAAGTCACATGCATATGAAGTGGATGAGATTGACTCAGTGATCATGCCTATTGTACCTCATCTCTGCCATTACTAGTTGGGATAAATCCAACAATAATTCCCTGATTAATGAGCAAAAATGACATCACTAATACACTATCTGTAGATTAGATAGTTTAGTTGGTCTTCCAGTCATAAAGATGGGTTAGTAGTAACTTCACAAGATTAGAGTGACATGACTAGTGTTGGTTCTGGTTCTGCCACTTATTGCGGGACCTATTCTATTCATTTGCATGTAAAATGGGGATGATAATACTCCACTTTAGAATGCTACTGAAAAAAAAATATAGTAAATTTAAAAATTGCTTGGTACACAAAGGCTGTTCCTTAAGTTCCCCCCAAACTCCTGAAAACGCAATGTGAAACTTTTGAAAGACAGGCATTTTAAACTATGAGACAAAGTCAAGCTCACTGACCATGTAGAGATTAAGTACAAGATGTTAGCAGTAACCACATTAGTTCAACTTCATCAAAGACCCTGGTGTGCTTATGTTAGGGAATAGAAAGCAGAGGAAGCCCAGCTGCAGAGCTGCTGGTACAGTTCACACAACAGTCTGAAGATGAAGGGAAATTTGCTTCATCACAAAGAAGGCATTTTCTCTAATCCTGCATATATCCTGGGGGAAAATAGATTTTTTTAAATAATGAAAAGTCTAAATTATTGCCAGATCACATCACTGCACTGCTCCTAAGTTCTCCATAACTCTTCGTGGTTTACCAAATAAAATTCTAACTCCTTAGCCTGACATTCATCGCCTTCTGCAATCTGTTCCCAATATACTTTAACAGCTGTAAATTCCACTACTTTGCTTTTGGACTAGAAATCATGGCCAAATCAGATTACTCACCATTTCCCAATATCTCTCATGTTTTCACATTCTTATTCCAATCTTTCCCATAAGCAGAAAGGTCTAACTAAAATCTCAATACTAAGGATGTTGGGTCTATTCCAGGAAGGGAACAAGAAACACCTGCAGCCCAATAGCACACATCCAAATACCTTTACAGAAAGCTCTTGAAGATAAAAAACAAACAAAAGGACTTTTGATGAGAATATGCCTATCCATTCCAAAAAGACAGCTGTTCTTTTCTTAAATAGCTTCTACAGACTGGTATTAAAAATGGAGATGTATTGGTTTGAGACATGCCCAGTGAACATGTGCCCTACCTGTTCACATTAACTTTATTTGCTGAATTAAAGTAAAACAAAGACCAAGTCCTTCATGACTTCTTAAGAATTTGAAGGCATTGCTTCACAAAAAAACCACACAGTACCCCGGTATGGTGGTGCTTGCTCGTAATTCCAGCACTTGGGAGGCTGAGGCAGGAGGATCGCCACAAGTTCAAGCCCAGCCTGGGCTGTATAGTGAGTTCGAGGCCAGCCTAAACTATACAGAGTGACCCTGTCTCAAAAAACAAACAAACAAACAAACAAAACAACACACAGTAACATGGTGTACATGAGAAAATAAACTAATAGATTTTAGACATAGGATTCTATATATGTCCACAAACAGACCCCAGCTTACAAGATATGGCTGCAAAATACGGGGAATGTTTAAAATTTGAAAGAATTTATGATAGCAAAGACAGACTGTTGTTACTCCCCCGCAAAATGCTCCTCCTCACTTTGAACACACTTGTTCCATCATTCTTGCCACTTCCTGAAACATTTCTGAAAGTCCTCTTCTGCAGTTGTCTTTAGTTGAGTTGACATGGCCATCTCAGTATCCTCCCTGAATCAATTTCAAATGCTTATCTTTCATGATCATTTTGACTTGGGGGAGGGCAGGAAGTCACATGGCTCTAGACCTAATGGATAAGATAGATGGGGACACATACAAT